TTTATTTTTTCCTCTTACCATAAATATATATTTGACTAATAATGTTTAAGCATAGCTTAACATAACTTGCAAAATACCTTTCAATAAGGTTCCAAAAGCAAATCAGTGCATTTGAATTAAGCTATATTTTATAATTGAATGAATAATTGAATGAATTTATATATACTATGTACCCATTAACAGAATCATATAAAGTCTTCTTTATATATGAAGTCTTTCTTATATTTACAAATATGTATCTTAAAACCAGTTCTGAAATGTCTAATGGTAATCATTGGGGTCAATTTTTTTGTTTTGTTTTTTGCTGTTTTTTGTGTTTTGCTGTTTGGTGTCCTGGGGATTAAATCCAGAACTTTACACATGCTAAGCAAATATTCTACCATTGAGCTACAGCCCCAGCCCAGCCAATATTTTATTTTACAGAACAATTCTAAGACTTAGTTTGATATAATGGTTAAATAATTTCCCAGTTACTTTTTATACTGTTTCACAAATTTCATAGCATATGATAATTTTCTCCCTCCATTTCTTTTATCTTTTTCTTCATTGAGCCATGGGGCTCATGGGCTCAGGGTTCAACATTATTATGAGAATGTCCTATATGAATAAAACCTTTATGCATGACTTTCTGTGTGATACATTTTTAAACTTTGTTGTTTTTAGGACATTTGAAAACAATAGTTAGAATGTGTGCTCAGTTTTTTTCCGGCAGTCTTTACTGTAGTCCTACCTTGGACTATCCAAGAATGATAGGTTAGCTTATGTAGAGTCAAATCTTTCAAGTGTATGATTTGTATATAATTTATACCCTTAAAAGTGTTTTTAAAAAGACTGTTCTTTGAAAATGTGTTATTTTTCAAATTTAAAGTTTCATTATCTATTTCACAAATATTTATTAAATATATTCTGTGATATGAAATACAAAGATGAGTAAGAACAGTATATCAACCATCTGGGTGCATACTTTCCTGGACTACAGTGACAGAATGTTGTCCCCTAGTGAATAATACACATTGCTATTCCTGGTGATTGCAACATGGCATAATGTATTTAAAAATTCTGTCTATTTATAAAAGTATATCTGTAAAAGCTATGAGGTCCCTGGAGTACTTTTTCATCCTGATTGAACACATTCATAACAAGAATTGCCTTTCATATTATATTTCATCTGAATTCTGCTGTTTCAGTTTTTGTGTGCGAATTCAGAAACCTTTGTTCAAAAAGAATATATTTCTTTTCATTTATTTGACTTCATTTGCTATGAAATTTAATGATTAATTTTAATTTTTTTACCTGATTTAGCACATTGATTTCCCTTTTAATACAATTTTTATTTCATCTTAATATAAGTTGATTGCTCACAGTCTTGGCAGTTGAATTGTATTGTGTGTTAAGCATTACATTTTACTTTATAATCGGAAAAGTAATTTTCTTACATACAGTCTCTGGCTTATGATAGTTCAATTTAAAATTTTTCAACTTTATGGTGGTGCAAAAGTGACATTCATCTGGTAGAAACTGTATTTGAATTTTGCACTTTTTCAGGGCTGGGCCAGGGATACAGCTCAGCGGCACAAGCGCCTGCCTGGCAAGCACAAGGTCCTGAGTTTGATTCCCGGTTTAAAAAAAAAAAAAAAAAAAAGTTAATCCAGGGCTAATGGTGTGCAGCATATACTCTGGATAAGGGCCAGTGCCAGTGCACCGAAGCTGCCAGTTAGCTGCGTGATGAGGAGGGTAAACAACCCTCTCTGGGTGTTCTGTGTGGCCAGTATTTCTAGGTACACATAATTCAGCAAATTATATGAGATATTCAACACTTTAGCACAGAACAGGCTTTATGTTAGGTGATTATGACCAGCTCTGAGCACATTCACTTAGGCTTGGCTGACCACTGATATTCAATAGGTTAGGTGTATTACCAGTAAGTTCTTGTTTTCTTCAGTACTGAGGATTGAACTCAGGGCCTGCATACTGAACTACATCTCCAGCACTTTTTAAAATTTTTATTTTGAGATGGAGTCTTGCTAAGTCACTAAGTTACCCAGGCTAGCCTCAAACTTGTGATCTTCCCGCTTCACCATCCCAGAGTGCTGGGATTATAGGCGTGCACCACCATGTCTGGCTGAATTGCATATTTTGACTGACAGTATTTTCAGTTCACAGCTGGATTATGTGATGTAACCCGCTTCTGAGTTGAGAAGCATCTGTACGTTATTTCACTTAATCACCCCACAGTGTTCTACTTTTCTTCTCATTATTTTTCCTCACTTATACCCTTAGTCTTTCTTATTTCTGTCTTACTTTTGCTTCCCGGTTTTTGCTCAAGCTTTTTCCTTACTGACACAAACTGCTCTCTTTACTTGCCTAACACCCAATCATTTTTTTAGATCTCAGCGTTAGGAGTGAAGGATTTTCATCTATGTGGCTTAGTTCTGTGTATTCATCCCTAAAACATATCTGACATATCCAAAGATTCAATTTTAAAATTGTGGGTTGGAGAAACTAATCAGTTGGTGTTATGTCACTAGGAAAAATATTTTACCATTTGGTAGAAAAACACCAGCAGGAAGAAGCCCTGAAGTACTTGTTTTAGTAAAATTTTGTAAAGAGATTTTATAGTTTCTTAGGCACAAAAGTGACCTTAGTGAAGGCAGTTTTAGAACACTTGAGTTTATGCTGGCCACGTGGAAAATGTGGGCTAGGGGAGTGGAAAGGAAAGACTTCAGGCTTAGAAAACTAGAAGACGGTACTTCTAGAACATGGAGGTTTTAATAAGTGAAATTACATATAAAATCCTTAAGCTTCTTTCTCAAAGCCATTAAAGATCCCTGATGGTTTAGGTAGCCTTACTACGTTCTTATAGTGAGATTATTTTCATCATTGTATTAACTAACAGTGAATTCTAGAGCATGATTCTGAGCATGTATCTTAACACTAACTTAATGAAACATATATGGTAAGTTTCATTTTACATATGAATTCTTTTTTTTTTTTTTTTTTTTTTTTTTTTTTTTTTTTTTTTTTTTGGTTTTTCTCCGGTACCGGGAACCGAACTCATGACCTTGCACTTGCCAGGCAGGCGCTTTTGCCGCTGAGCTAAATCCCCAGCCCCCCATTTTACATATGAAGAAATTAAGACCCAGAGAACTTAAACTAACTTGCCTATGCTAATATAGCTAGGAAGTGGCAGAGCTAGAATCAAACCAGGCAGTCTGATTCTAGTGTCCCGACTCTTAGCCACTATAATGTAGGCATTAGGTTAATACTTACCAATCTGTTTATAGGGCTGATGAGTTAAAGTAATTATAACACTTTCTTGTTGAGTACATTGGGGCTATTAAAATTTTCCAAACTCATCAAAAAAAAAGAATCTTCAGTATGGGTCTATCAATTAAGTTCACCACATAGCCAGATTATTGGCCTAGCCGGTATGTCTACTTAAATATTGAAGTCAGCCAGGTGTGATGGTGGATACCCATAATCTCAGTGCTCTGAGAGGCTGAGACAAGAGGACCACAGTTTAAGCCCAGCCTAGGCAACTGAGCAAAACCTTATCTCAGAATAAAAAATTTTAAAATGGAGGGCTGCATAGCTCAGTGTGAAGGTGCTGGGTTCAGTCACCAGTACTATAAATTAATTAATTAATTTAAAATTGAAGGTTCTTGGAACAATAAATTGTTCCACAATAGAATTACCTATATGGCATTTTCTAGCTCAGTGTCACGGTGCTAGGTTCAATCACTAATACTGTTAAGTAAGTAAATAAGCAAACAAACAAATAAGTAAATACTTTTTTAAAAAATTGAGGGTCCACAGAACAGTAAAACTGGAATTATTAATATGGCATTTTCTGATATATGACTTGTTTTTGTTTTTGTTGTTTTGGTCCTGAATCAGTGGCTTTGCCCTTTCTAAGTACACACTCTACCGCTGGGCTGTACTCCTCACTCTTTACTGTTTTTGAATGTTTGTTAATACCATAAAAGTGGTAAGATTTATTGAAAAATCAGACTTTGGAATCAAATAGACCTTAGATTAGCACTTAATTGCTGGCTAATCATGTTAGCACTTTAACCTCTCTTCTTAATCTCTCGTCTGGAAGATGAGTATGTTCTTCTTACAAGATTGCTGTGACACTTAAATCAAGTACCTAATGGGATGCCTAATATACATAGTTGTTCATCAAGGCATATTGTTGTTGTTGTCTTTATCATATTTAGGTTTATTATTCATTTGATTAACTTTTATTGAACTTGTGTTATAAACTTATCATCTAATTTCTTAGCTTCTCATTATAAGTAAATCCTAGCCGGGTGTGGTGGCACATGCTTAATCTAACACTCAAGAGGCTGAGGCAGGAGGATCATTGTGAGTTCAAGACTAGTCTGGGTTACAAAGTGAGCTCAAGGCCAGCCTGAACTGCATAGCAACACCCTGTCTCAAAAAAACAAACAAACAAAAAAATCCTGGAGGGACAGCACCAAAAATAATTTATAGAAAAGCAATCAGATCAGTGAAGGGTCTAGAAATCATTTTCAAAAGAAAACATTGAAGTTAGTTGTGAGTATTTAATATGAGGACTAGAAGACTGTAAAGGAAGGGTGCATTATCTGCTTGGAC